ATCAATTCTACCAAACCAAGACTGACCTTGATCATTTAATAAAATTAATGAAGGTAGTAGAGGAAAAAATAGAGTCGAAAATATCCCAAAATAGCTTGCCACAATTTATAAATAAAGATAGCACTAACCCTTCGTGTACGTTTGCTAAAATAGTCAGCCATGCCACTAGTACCAATACACTATTAAAAAAGAGAACAAATAGTTGCCATATTTCTAATATGCAAAAAACGCAAAATATGAACAGTGGTGAAGCCACGAAACCGACTCAACATACGACCCAGGCGAAAATAACAAACACACCGATGATTACTGAGTCAATAAGTACGGAACTGATTAACCAGGAGGATTATCAACAAGCTGGTTGGAAGATGGTACAATATAAGAAGACTAATAGATTATATAAAGATGTGAGAATAGGAAAAAATACAGATATAAAGGCAACACAAGCTACGAAACGAAAAAGATATCTGAACATATGGTATTTACACCCGAAAACCACCCCAGAAGCAGTTACTAACCATATTAAGAGTATATGTGGCTCGGAAGTAAATATAAAAATTGAAAAAAATCAAACATGAAACAGCGCAAGATTATTCATCTTTCATAATAGGTGTACCTGAACAGTTTTATGAAAATCTGAATAAAGCTGAAATATGGCCATTAAACACTGAATTTAACGAATGGATTTGGTTTCGTAGATTCACCAAGAAAAGTTTTGATAAATAATAATAAAATAGATATATTTTATTAAAATGTAAGAGGTCTAAGAACTAAATTGGATATTTTTAGGAGTAATATTGCGTCTTCTAATGCAGACTTATACGCGGTCATGGAAACAGGTTGTAATGAATTGATACAAGATGCAAAGATCGTACCACAAGGATACAAAATATTGCGTTGTGATCGAACGGACGGTCGGAAGCAGGGCGGTGCGCTTTTCGTGGCCACACACCGGTTCGAGCTACGGCATGTACTTGTACATTTGAAATGGTTAGTTCGACAATTCATTTAAATAATAGATTTTTGTTTATGTGCTGTGTGATTTTTTTCCACCGGGCAGTTCAGAAAATGATTATGTGACTTTGTTTAGATTAATAGAATAATTGTGTGATAGATATAAGCAGGTTATTGTAATAGGAGATTTTAATTTGTACTCAAGTTCTGTAAATATTAGTAATTATTTGAGTGCTTCCTGTCCTATTGCGTGTTCACTCAGTATAATAAAATACCTAACTGTTTAGATTGTCAGTTGGACTTGGTACTGGGCGCGGGGTTAAATGGGTCATGGTCAGTGTTGGTGGAGGCGGCGGACGGGGAGCTCCTGCTAGTGGACCCGTACCATCTGCCGCTCGCAGTCAGCGTGCACGTCGGGTCCGCGACCCCTCCATTGCCCACGTAGCCGCACACACCCGTCGAGGCGAATGTTTCTAATATTAAACCGAAGTGGAATTTTTATCAAGCTGACTATCCATCATTATATTCAATGCTAACTTCCAATGATTGGAATAAGATATGTGAAATGAGTGACGTAGAAGACAATTTAAATTATTTTTATAATACACAATTGATAATAAACACACAAAAACACAAACACTCACGCCTGTCACCCATAGGGGTAGGCAGAGACTACGGACTTCCATTTGGCGCGATCCTGACACACCTCTCTCGCCTCTTTTACATCCATATATCTACGCATACACGCTCGTCGGTTAAGGGTACTCATAATCTGGCCCATTTTCAATGTGTCGCCGATTTGGTCGATAAATCTTCGTCTAGGGGCATCCCTTCCCGACCCTGCCGTTCACTTCTGCAATATAAATTTGCTTTGTCACTTTTTCCTCGTTCATTCTTTCTACATGACTAAACCACCGAAGCATTCGTTTTTTAATCCTGGTCACAACGTCATCTTGCAAACCATACTTTTCTCTTATAACACTAGTTCTCACCCTGTCAATCAGATTCAGCCCTAGCATACTTTTTAATGACCGCATTTCTACAGTATTTATTCTACTTTCATGCTTCTTCTGCCAGACCCAACTTTCACTACCATTTATTAAAGTAGGGATTAACACAGCATTATGAATTGCCATACGTGCCTTATTTGACACATTCTGACTCCTCATAATAGCGTGAATGTGGCTCTATTCACTTTATTTCCTGCGTTCACTCCTCGTTCTATATCCTTATCATATCTACCATCCCTGCTAAACACACATCCTAAATATACAAACTCATCCACTTGCTCATTCAAATCCCCTTCTATTCTTATTTCACATAACGTTTTACTTTCTTCTCTTTCAAAAACCATCACTTTCGTCTTTCTTGCGTTCATTTTCATACCCGTTTCTTTTAATGACCAGTTCATTAAAGTAACCATCCTTTGCAACTCGGCCGCCGACGATGCAAATATGACTTGATCATCGGCGTACAAAAGGCATTTGACGGTTAACTCACCCATGCTCAACCCACATTCTTCAACTTTCAAAGTTTGCAAACAACTGTCCATAAACAGGTTAAACAGCCACGGTGAAGCTACACAGCCCTGTCTGACACCTTTTTGAATGCCAAACCAGTCTGAGTAGACCCCGTTTATCCTGACACAAGCCTTACAGTCCCTATACAGAGACCTTAATGCCCGTATCAAACCAGTGCTCAACCCAAATGAGTTCAGTGTTTGCCATTACACATTCCTGTCCACTCTGTCATAAGCCTTTTCCAAGTCCATCAACTCACAAAAAACTTTCTGGTTTTTGGCCAAAAACTTCTCCGCAATCATGCGCATGGAAAAGACTTGATCCGTACACCCCATCCCCTTTCTAAATCCAGCCTGCACAACCCAAATTTTTCCGTCAGTTTCTTCCATAACTCTTTCAATTAACACCTTAGCATACAGTTTACCCACAATGCTAAGCAAGCTGATACCACGGTAGTTTTTACAGTCCTGCTGCGAGCCATTTACCTTATATATTGGGACAATAACGGCTTTGCATCAGTCTTCCGGTACCCGCTTTAGTTCCCAACATAAATTAAACAAGGTGCACAGCAGGCCTGCAACCACACCCCAGCCCTTAGCATTTCGAGTGATACTCTATCATATCCGTCTGCCTTACCTACTTTCATGCTTTTCATTGCTTTCATTATTTCACCTACGCTTATCTCCCTACCTCTCTCAACTTCTTTCGGAATTTCTATTTCACTTAATTCAGACGACTCTTCACTCTTAAACACACTTTCAAAGTGTTCTTTCCATCTCTTTAAATTCGAAAGTTCATCATTCAGCATGCAGCCATTCTCGTCTCGTATATCATTAATTCTAGGCTGTTTTGAATTTGAATTTACTTAATAATTTTTATAAGTTAATAATATTTTAGATAAATGTATACCTAGAAAAAATACAAATAAAAAACAATCACAGTATGTATACCCAGTATGGTACACGAGCGAAATTATTAATGAAATCAAAAATAAAGCATTACTTCACAAAAAATTTAAAAACACAAAGCTTGACAGTGATTACAGAGAATTCGCGAAGTGTAGAAAACGTATTAAAAAATCCATAGAAACTGCATATAAAGAATACAAAAATAAAATTGAACTTCAATTTGCAAAAGACCCAAAATCGTTTTGGCAATATTTTAAACCTAAAAAAAGTAATTTAGATAAGCAGAGCATCATAAAAAATGGTGAATACTTAAGGGATTATGAAGCTGCTAAGGAATTTGTAGATTTTTTTGAATCGGTATACGGCAGGGATCCGCCGCTATATCATATTTTTAATATGTGCTTAAAACATGCAACATTCCCGGCGAGATGGAAGATCACGAGAGTCATTCCGGTTCTGAAAGGTAAGTCAGGTACTGATGTGAGCAGTTATAGACCTGTGGCTGTACTGTCGACGGCAGCGAAAGTGATCGAGTCAGCTATCCACCGACGGATGCAGTCACAAATAGGCGCTTATCTCTCCGACGCGCAGCACGGGTTTAGGGCGGACCGCTGTACAGCCACCAATTTGCAGAACTTTATGGCGCAGGTAGTACCGGCAGTTGATGCTGGTGTACAAGTAGACATAGCCTACTTTGATTTTAAAAAGGCGTTCGATACGGTGGATCATGATATTTTATTAAGAAAGTTGGCTCAAGTCGGATGTACTTCGTATATGCTCCAGTTCTTCGTCAGCTACATGAAGGATCGACAACAGTATGTGGATTACAATGGATATGAATCAGGACTATACACGATCCAGTGTGAGCCTGAGCAGCAATTTGGAGTCTCTTGAATTTTTAATAATGATAATTGACTTACTAGTAGTCGTTTATATATAAAAATTACGTGTCACGTTGTTTGTTCGCGATGGACTCCTAAACTACTGAACTGATTTCAATGAAATTTTGCACACTGTGTGCATTTTGGTCCAACTTGAGAGATAGGATAGTTTTTATCCCGCTAAATGACCCTCGAAAATTTTTATTGCGAATTTAAGGATTTTTATAGGAAGGGTCGTCGGAAAGGGCAGAACGTTTGCCTGACCAGCCAGTATATCTATATATATACATACGGCATTCCGTTTCGGGATTCCGTTTCGGAATTCCGATTCAAGATTCCGAACGCAGCAAGTTTATATAAAATCTATTAACCGTCACACACGTACGGTAGTTTTCCGTTTGAAATATTGCGGGCAAAACGGGATTCCATATATGTGTGGCCGATCCGTTCGAAATTCCGAAACGGAATTCCGTATGTATGAGGTGGGCCTAAAATGTGTATTTTTACTTTTCTTAGTTTAATACGTTGGTAAATATAGTAGGCAGTATTTAGGCATTTTTCACTACAGACTGGCAGGATTTGGCAGGTTTTTAACCAAAGTAAGGCAAGATCTGTATTTTAAAGATGGTCACACTGTTTAGGATGTGGCAGACTGGCAGTGTTAGTGCCACATAGCTTGCTACATATTTATAATTTATTTATCTATGGTACCACAGAGTGCCACAGAGCAGAGGAGCACCTTGCTATTGCTAGATTGCTAGTGTGGTGTACACATCTTCAAATCAAAACAGATGTTTTCGGTTTTCGCTGTAAAACTTTGGATTTGAAAGTGGAATGGAGTTTTAAATACTATCCTGATCGTGATTTTAAAGCGTAATTAAATGTATACTTAATTTGTGAAATTTAATAATACATATTACAAATCTAAAATGGTAAGTATTGTTTACTTGTAGGTTATCTTTTTGTCTAGACTTTTTGGTTTATAATCATAAAATAATAAAACATTTTATCTTACCTTTAGTTTCATTTAATTCTTATTATACGTTATTATTATGTTAAAAAAATTAACTAATCTCTTGTTGCTTACCTAAGGTTTTCTTTATGATAATTCACACTCATCCTATGTAGTAGGATGAATATTTTTTTAAAAGGTAAAACCATTATAGAAATGTAAAGTAATATTTTATTTACACATTTTTACCATTCTTTCTATGTAATATTATTCATACTAAAAAATTTCAGACTCATATTGACCGAAAGGGTACTTTTAAAGTTGAATACTTGCAAGAGATTGAGAAAAATGTACAAAAACAGTGGGAGGAAGAAAAAATATTTGAAATCGAGGCACCCACTGATGGGAAAACATGTGACAAGTTTTTGTGTACTTTCCCGTATCCATATATGAATGGACGTTTACATCTTGGACACACATTCTCTTTGTCCAAGTGTGAGGTAAGATTTACACCTTTTTGTTGTCTCAGGCTTGAAACACTTTACAGATAATTGGAATTGAGCACACTGTGCAGTATAATATCTTCATTAAACACACCTAATGTGTTTTTGAGGTTGAATGGGCAGCAAATTTAACTCGGTGAAGAAAATTCTAGAGCAATATTTTTTTACTTATGTGGTAGAGCCATGCTGCAGCTATATTAGTAGTATAGTTGTAGCACGAATGGGTAGGCTCGACCGGGGAATGGTTACGCTCTCACAGAATACCAGCGTAAAATTGCAGTTCAATGCTGCTGTTTTGTATGGTGAGTGTAGAGAACCGGAGACCCATTTTACTGGAAACGAGGCATTCCATCTTGGTACTCACAGGTGACAACGCATTTGCATTTTGATTTGTAATTGAGAATAGATGTAGATATATATGGGCTACAGAAACTACTTACCATCAGGTGGACTGTGTGCTCGCTTCTCACTTTTATCCTATAAAAAACATGCCTTGAGCAAATATTTACTATCAGAGCTAGAAAAGTATGGATATGCCCATAGTAATTTTGAATTTAATTTGTTTTCTGGAAATATGCTTAATGTGGGAATATATTGCATTGTTCCATAATACTTTAAGGTGTTATTTTACTACGGAAATACAATTTTTTTGTATTGTGCCCTTGTCAATATTCCAATGAACAATCTTTATTTTATTTTTTGATATTGACATGCACATCAATTTGTATTTTTGGGATTTCAATATAATTGTTAAAACATTTTTTGTAGAGTCCTTGAAAATACTGCAGATTAGTTAAATTTAATCCACTTATAAATGTGTATGTGGTTGATTAAATTTTTTAAATAAAACATTATTATAAAACTTATATTAGTTATGAGTTAGGTACATAACAATAATCTTTATCATCTGAAGCTGAACATAGGCCATGCCCAAACAATGCCACAGAGGAAGGTCTTGAGTTGCATTTACCCATCGACATCCTGCACTCACATCCGATTGTCGGGCACAGGGCAACATATTCCTTTCATTTCTGAGAGGAATATTGTGTATTTATTCTGCCGCACTGCTACAGCACACAGCATAACTCCAAACTTCACATTTCCTCCAAATATTTTATTTCTCAAAGAAGCAGGTTTCCTCAAGGTGGTTTGCTACACTGCCAAGCATGTTACTATATGCTATCAGCTGTGAAAATTACAATTAACAATTTCATTGTTATGTTAATTAATATCACAATAATATTGTTAATGATATAGGTTAACATCCAATATTATTAACTACTTTAGGAAGGATTATTACTATAAAGGATTATTTTTCAAAGAGTAGCCAAATTTTAAACTTAAGTTCAAATATATAAATGATGTACCATTATTACAGTTTTTGAAAATACTAGTAAATATGGTTTTTACTTTTTAAGAGGCGGCAGATGGAAACAAATCAGGAGATGGGCAACAGCGTCTTCTTAATAACAACTAAAAATAAAAAACTATGGCAAATATCCCCCCTATGAGGCAATCTATAGGGCAAGGTTTATGTTCTCTGTCATGACTCCAAATGTCAAACAATTAAATACTAATGTAATTTTAAATGGGGAGAAACTGAGTCTTGTAGATACCACCATTTTTCTTGAAATCACACTAGACGTGAAGCTTCAATGGAGCCCCCATATATCAAAACTAGTAAGCAGACTTAGTTCTGCAGCATATGCTGTAAAAAATATTAGAAGTCTAACCAGTGTTGAAACAGCTAAACTAGTTTACTTTAGCTATTTCCATAGCATAATATCGTATGGTATTTTGCTATGGGGACACACAACTGACACTGAAATTATATTTGTTTTACAGAAGAGGGCCATAAGAGCAATTTATAATTTAAAGCCTAAAGAGTCACTGCGACAAAAATTTAAGGAAATTAATATATTAACTTTGGCCTCTCAATGCATTTATGAAAATGTTATGTACGTACACAAAAATAAAAGTAGTTTTACAAAAATAAGTGATATTCATTCTGTAAATACTAGGAACAGACACAAGCTAGTAGTACTAGTTATTCGACTCCATCGAGTGAGTAATTCATTCTTGGGGCGATGTATACGCTTTTACAACAAAATTCTAGATAATATACAAAATTTGACCTGCTCAAAGTTCAAAAACTTTCTTTAACTAAGTTTGTATAAAAAGAGTTATTATAATATTAAGGAATTTATGGATGATAATAACCCCTGGAAATGAGGTGATCGCTACCAAGCTATTTCTAATTTGTTGTGTTGTTAATTTGTGTAACATACATGATTGTAAGCTGTTATTTAAAAAAAAGTCTTGCTGGTTCTTCCCAGGACAGAGGTTTTTTTCTAATAGTTTATCTAATAGTGTATAATAAATAATATTATATAGGTGTCCACTATTTTAACAAATTTGGGCGGTGCTGCAGTCCCTTCAGCGGTGCCAAGTTGACTGTCGGTATATCGAAGTGTTGAAGTGCTTGTACAGTAGGGCTACGATGGCTATCCGAGTACAGAACCAGAGTACGAAACCTATCCAATTGCAGAGAGGTGTAAGACAGGGTGACGTCATATCCCCGAAACTCTTCACCGCTGCATTGGAAGACGTTTTCAAGCTTCTGGACTGGAAAGGATACGGTATCAACATCAATGGCGAGTACATCACTCACCTTCGATTTGCCGACGATATAGTCCTTATGGCAGAATCGCTGGAGGACCTAAGCACTATGCTCAATGACCTCGATAGTGTTTCCCAACGGATAGGTCTTAAGATGAACATGGACAAAACAAAGATCATGTTCAATGTCCATGTCACACCTATGCCGGTAGTTGTTGGGAGCACTAAGCTCGAAGTTGTTGACGAGTATTTTTAGCTGGGACAAATAGTCCGACTAGGTAAGTCCAACTTCGACCGAGAGGTCAATCGACGGATTCAACTCGGCTGGGCAGCGTTCGGGAAGCTACGACACATCTTCTCGTCAGACATACCTCAAAACCTGAAAACGAAATTGTACAACCAGTGCGTGTTGCCAGTGATGACTTATGGAACTGAGACATGGTCCTTCACTGCTGGCCGTATGAGGAAGCTCAAGGTCGCTCAGCGAGCTATGGAGAGGGCTATACTCGGAGTTTCTCTGCGTGATAAACTTAGGAATGAGGATATCCGCAGTAGAACCAGAGTAACCGACATAGCCCAACGGATTAGTAAGCTGAAGTGGCAGTGGGCCGGCCATATAGCTCGAAGAACCGACAACCGATGGGGAAGAAAGGTTCTCGAGTGGCAGCCTCGTACCGGTAGGCGAAGTGTAGGGCGTCCCCCCACGAGATGGAGTGACGACCTGGTAAGACATGCAGGAAGTCGATGGATGCAGGTGGCTCAGGACCGTGCTTTGTGGCATTCTTTGGGGGAGGCCTATGTTCAGCAGTGGACTTGTAAAGGGCTGTAATGATGATGAGGTGTCCACGAATGACATCAATATAATATTATTTATTATTTGGGGGTACATATTATGATGATTATACAATATTAATTGACATACCGTTATTTAAAGCTGTCCTTGAATCTGGTAAAGTTTATTGTAATTTGATTTTATCTAATTCTTTGCTACTGTAATAGCAAAAAACATTTTATTTTGCTGTTATTATTTCAACTGGTATTATATTTCCTGCGCTTGATGGACACTTTAAATTTAAATATATGTTTATGAATACACCTGGACTTGATTAGGTATGAATTTTAGGTTAGTTTTAGATTACTAGAGTATGTAGTTTACTAGGTATGTACCAAATCACAAGACAAATCTAAATCCAAGTTAAGCATAGCTCAATAATCTTAGAAATTCTGCAATATAATTTAGTAAACAAAATACAAAAAACAAAATACTTGCAGTAAAGTAATCTTCAAACACTGAAAAATACTAGGCTCGAGCGGTTACGCGGCCCGCCCACACACACACCTTAGCCCAATGTAACATGCAATATATAATATCTTACTGTCTGCTCAGAATATGTTCAAAATTGTGTGCATGCTTGTTTATTTTGTATAGGCGCCTGTTCCAGGTTTATGATAAGCTAAGTAAGATGTAGATATATTATCGAAACTAGTTTCTACCTTAAGATCAGTCACATTAATTTTTTTTTTCTTAGTTTGCTACAAGATATTACAGACTTAAAGGAAAAATGGTACTATTTCCTTTTGGATTCCACTGTACTGGCATGCCTATAAAAGCATGTGCAGATAAGTTAAAAAGGGAAATGGCTGTTTATGGATGCCCTCCGGTTTTTCCTGAAGACCAAGAGACAGTGGTAAAAGATGAAGGAGATATTGTTCCTAAAGATAAAAGTAGAGGCAAAAAAAGTAAAGCTGTGGCCAAGACAGGAGCTGCTAAGTTTCAGTGGCAGATAATGCAAAGTTTAGGGATTCCAGAGGATGAAATAAAAGAATTTGCTAATGAAAGCTACTGGCTGGAGTACTTTCCACCGAGAGCTGTGACTGATTTAAAAAGAATGGGAATACATGTAAGTATAGCAATATTTTTATTCTTCATTATATTTTAATTAGTTATGGCCATATGAAAGAAAAAAAGCATCAGTTGTCAGAATTGTAATTGTTCTGTAGTAATAACTTGAAATGACGACTGAGAAATGCAGTAATTATCTTAAAGCTTCTGACTAACCGTACTGGATAGATTTTAACCAGTATAATCATACTGCGATCTGTCAGATGCCATAACAACAGTTCCGATCTGAAGACTTGAAGGGGAATAGAATCAACGACATCTGGAGAGACCCATGACCATTTGAAGGCTAAGCGCAGGTTCTTTCACCTCTATTTAACACAAGCGTATACATCAAAATTGCACTAACTATTGTCAAATGAGAACAAAAGTTATTTCACGAAATATTGGCTACACATTCGTTAAATAATAAAAATTATGATTTAGAAACAAACCTGCTTTAGAGGTCAAAAGACTTAAGATTCTACCATGTCTGATCTGAACCAATCAAATCAGACATGGCAGAATCAACTATGACAATATTTATTGACCCTTATCTACTAAGTGATTACATTTTAAACATGTACACTCTTGTTATAAGATTTTGAGAAATAGTTACAAGAAGAATTAATAATCTCGAAGAATAAATCCCCAAACCCATCCCCGATAATTTAGATCTCTGGAACAACCTTTGCGTCTTAGTAAGAGTTACGTAGTGGGACAATTTATCCTAGTTAAACATACTTGTCTACAACTTTGAAAGTAGTGTTCCCAAACATTACGTATACATCATAGGTGTGACGTGTCATAATATTGTACATGATTTTTGTCTTGTCCATATACAAATTAACCTCTTTAACACTATTGAGATCATTTAGTATAGTATTAAGGCTCTTCTGTAATTCTGTCGTCGGCTAATCGAAGATCGAAAAAATAGTTGGTAGGCCAGTAGCTTGAATAAAGTTGGTTCTGTTTCTGTATCTGTAATTGGATTACTATTGTAGCCTTACTATGCAAACTTTTAAATTACGTTGATATACCGACTGTATGTAAGGCTTTAGTAACGGAACCATATGCGTATGTTACTGTAGCCTTTTGAGAAAGACTTGCTTAATTCAATACAAGATGGAGGAAGCAATAAAATTAATATTTAACTAACCACTGTCTATTTTGTAACGTACACAATTACACACAAGGGTATTACTATTCTGTTTCCCATTATTGCTGTCGTTAATTAAATTACAAAATAAGACAATTACATTATGCATTCACAGGTAGATTGGCGAAGAAAGTTCATTACTACTGATGCAAATCCCTTCTATGATTCATTCGTGAGGTGGCAATTTTTCCATCTAAAAGAACGTAAGAAGATAATGTATGGAAAACGCTACACAATATTCTCACCATTAGATAAGCAACCTTGTATGGACCATGACCGAAGCACTGGGGAAGGTGCAGGACCTCAAGAGTACACTTTAATAAAGCTTGAAGTTTTAAAACCTTATCCAGAAGTATTGAAGTAAGGAAAAAAAACATATTTAGAATTTACATATTATCTGTAAAACATATTTAGAAAGTTCAATTTTTCTTTTCTTCTCATGACCATACTTATTACATGGTTGAAAACAATTGAAAAACAATTTGTCGGAATGTGTTATAGTGTCTTCGACTTTATATTTGACCTTACCTCTGATCTTATTGCATAACCATTGTATCATATGAAGTAAATGTACATAAGATTGAAGGTACTGAATTACCTGTTAAAAATAAAAATATTGTTTTTAACAAATAATAATAATAATAATAATACTCAGACCGAACTGAACGCTCTGGACAGAAAAGTCCGCACTATAATGACGTCCCACAGGATGCATCATCCGAGATCGTCAGTAATGAGGCTGTACTTGCCGCGGAAGCATGGTGGGCGCGGCTTTTTAAGCGCGCTTACCATGCATAATCGCGAAGTGTGCAGCCTCCGTAATTACTTTCTGACGAGAGCGGATGATCCATTCTATAGGGACGTTATTTCTTGTGATAAAGGACTTACCCCTCTATCCTTAGCCAACGAGCAATGGCAAGACCCGGCAGTACAGAGCATTTCCGACCGGGAGACCGTATGGAAGGAGAAGGAGCTCCACGGGAGGTTCTACAAGGCTCTACATGAGCCTTGCGTAGACACAGTCGCCTCCCTCCACTGGCTACGTTTCGGTGACCTCTTTGGGGAAACCGAGGGTTTTGTCTGTGCGATACAGGATCAGGTTATTAAGACCAACAATTATCGGAGATACATCCTAAAGGATGGCGCCGTCGACATCTGTCGAGCTTGTCGCCATCCCGGTGAGTCACTTAGGCATGTCATCTCCGGTTGTTCGGCGCTTTCTAACTCTGAGTATTTGCACAGACACAACCTAGTAGCCAGGATTCTACACCAGGAGCTCGCTCTGAAATACGGTCTCGTGGATCGGAAACTGCCATATTATAATTACTTGC